ATAATGCTCCAAGAGACCCATCTAACGAATCACAGTGATCACCAAAAAATACAGAAATTCTTTATGAGAAAGGTGGGAGGGATCAAGGATGCGGTATGGTCCTCAGACAACAATTCGAGCAGGAAAGGGACTGCAATCTTAATCCCTAAGACCTCGAAGTTGTACAGTGCGGGGACGGTAATCAACACAGGATCCGACGAAAACGAGGGCAGGTGGTGCTTTATGGACATAAGATGGATGGAAGAAGAACTCAGAGTGATCAGTGTGTACGCTCCCAATGACCGTAACGACAGATCCGCCCTTATTGATTCCATAGGTCACCTAATTCCTCCCTTACAAGCCTGCTTAATTGGGGGTGACTGGAATGCCACTCTGAACCCGGTCAATGATCGTATATCCAGAGCAACCTCACCACAGTCATCTCAAGAAGCAGCCCCAGTTCAATACGTCCACATTTTCCCTTGTTAAGAAAAATCATGCCCACCACACGGCTTTCTCTCGCATAGATTACTTACTCATTACGGACCACATCATGGGGACAGTCAAGGAAGCGGACGTATTGGCGCTGGCCCCGTACCCAGGCCTTGACCATAAACCAATTGAGCTAATCATCAGTTTCGACCAATATATCCAAAAGGGACATAACTTCCACAAACTGAATAACTCTCTCCTACTTAGTCAAGAATTCCAAGAGGGGATGTTGACTAGCTGGCACAATCTTAGAGGAGGCCTTATCACAGGACAAGACAAATGGGACTGGTTCCAAAAAAGCTACCTCAAGCTGGCTGAAACAGCCGCTAGAATTTCAAGGAAAATGGCCAACGACAGGAAACGCAGGAAATTGATGCTCGTAACGGCCCTCAGAGTAGCGGAAAACAATCTAGCTACCAACGCCTCCTCTCCGATGTACACGGAGGTACTAGAAAGGACACGAGAAGAACTGGTGGTGTGGCCTCAGTGGGAACTGGGAGGACTGCAGATCAGAGCCAGAATGACCGACCTCGAATTAAATGAACAAATGTCCAAGCATTTTTTTTTTAGAATAAAGCCAAAAAACAGGTCCAGCTCAATAGAGGGTCTCAAGGAGTTAACATGCCTACAGGAAACTCACACAGACAGTGAAGGGATGTTGGAGGTCACAAAGAACTTCTACAAAGAACGGTACCGTTTTAAAACACCAACAACCACCCCTACCAATATCCGAGCGGCCAGATCCAAAATGTTGCAATACTTAGACATGACAATATCAGATGAGCAAGCAAACAAATTGGATAAACCGACATTCATGGAAGAGCTACAATTCGCACTCCAGAGCATGAATAATAATAAGACCCCAAGCATCGACGGTCTGACAAAGGAATTTTGGGAGAAATTCTGGCCCCTAATGGGCTCGGACCTTATGAATTTCTACAACGATAGCTGGGAAAAAGAGGGTATGGGCGTAGTCCTCAGCACCAGTGTCGTGACTCTTCTATATAAAAAGGGTGACCGGGAAGACATCAAAAACTACAGACCAGTATCCCTTCTCACACTTCCATATAAAATACTGGCCAAAGCCCTAGCCTTCCGCATATTGGACGTGACGGACAAATGCTTCCACATAGACCAGTCGGGTTTTATACCTGGTAGGTATATCTTGGACAATGTAATGACCCTCAACGAGGCATCCAAGAAAGTGATGGAGAAGAAAATCAGCACAGCAATTCTATTCTTCGACTTTGAAAAGGCTTACGATCAGGTGAATTGGGAGTTTCTCGATGCAAGTATGGAAAGAATGGGGGTAAGTTCCAACCTCAGGAAATGGGTGCGAGTCCTATATAATAACGCCTCTGGTTGCGTCCAGATCAAGGGGCTGCGAAGGCTACCCAATCTCCAGGTCGGTAAGACAAGGTGATCCGCTAGCACCGCCTATCTTTCTATTCGTCATGGAAGCTATAGCCTCTTTCCTCCGTAAAGACTATCTATCCAAAGATTGTCGGAAATGAACGTCGGCTCCTCACACCACTCCATATTTCCTACAATAATCATATTCGCAGACGTTCTAGCAGTGCTGATACGAGCTTCCAACTCGTCCATGGCAGCTTTAGTCAGAGCAATGGAAGCGTTCAGACTGGCTTCAAAAATGAAGATAAATTGGGTAAAGACGGTAGGGTGGTAGTTATCTAATGAACCCATCCCACAGCTTCACGGACCGGAGGATCAGATGTCCTGGAAAATACTGGAGGAGCCAACGAGATACTTGGGGATCCAAGTAACAAAGGACGGTCCTGCTCCCCAGATGGCAGAAAATCTCCTAGCCGGTCAAATCAACAAAATGGGGAAATGGAGTCAAGCATTTGCATCACTACTGGGTAGGGCTCTTACCATTAACACCTCCGAATTCTCAATGATGTGGTACATAGCTTCCATTTGGACAATACCAGACCAGACCATCAAAGATCTAAACAAGAAAGCCAGAGCATACTTATGGTCAAGGAACCCCAACAGAGAAAACTACATCCCAAAGATAGCATGGCACTTCATCACAAGGAAACCAATACAGGGTGGACTAGGCATTATTGACCCAAACAAGAAATGAAAGCCTTGCAAATTAAGTGGGTCATGAAGCTATTGACTAGTCAATCACTGTCGTGGAACAAACTAGCACAAGATAGCATTAGGAAGCTGACCCCAACGGAATCCCTCACTAACATGCCCGGACTGTTCTGGGTCATGAACAAAGACTGGAGTCCAAGAACAGGGAGGAGAAGACATGGGACTAGCGCTCCCCCATCGCACGACCAGACACTTGTCCCGTATTGGACGGCCCTTACACGTATCTGGAGAGAAATCATGCCTGAGAAACGAAACAAACCCATATCCACAGAGGAAGTGCTCAGGTAGCCTCTGTTTGGAAACCCCTGGATCAGAGACGAGGGTGACCACCCGTGGACTCTCTCCCACAGAGGCAACAGATGGCTGTCATGGATCAAACATGGTGTTTGGCGAGTAGGGGATATCAAGAACTGGCTGGACGAAAATGAGCTTAAAACTCGATTGAAAGGCTGCCACCACAGAGATGAAAGTTTACAAAAGATTATACAGAGCATTCCTGGGGGCTGGACAAAGCTTCTAAAGGAGGTTTTCATGTGGAAAGCTGGGGAGTGGAGGATCCTAATCCAGGACACATCCCCCGAAAGGGCCTACCAATTTTCCCATCGAATATCAGGTCCAGGGCCACGAGACGTCTTCACATCCTTCCTAATCCTGAAGACCAAGCCAGATGAACTGTGCATTCAAAATATCAACCCTGAAAGAGTAGTGCTCAATGCGTTTACTCTCCGTAAAATAAGAACACTAGGACTCTGGCCAAAATAGATATTTCAAATAGGGACAACAATTCAAGGCCTCGAGTTCGATCCCTCCGAGTGGGTGTGGCCCCCCGACCGAAATAGAACCACCAAACCACCAATTCCGATATATGAGTACACAGTTAAGCTGGGTTACAAGATGTTGTTAAAAACAAAGGACCCAGACCCAACAATCAAAGGAAGATGGAGCAAATTGATTGGTTCGGAGGCAGACCAGTTAGCAAAAATCCCATGGAAGAAATATAAAACGATAAGACCTATAAAAATCAGAAGCATGTAGTGGCTCATAACATATGTTGCTCTACCGGTCAATCAGTGGTTACATGTCAGAAGAAGAAAGAACGACCCAACCAGCTCTGAGATCTATGCAGTTTGCTCAGATCAAGAACAGGAAGACGTGATACATTGCTTAATTAACTGTAAAGAAGCCATAGAGTATTGGGCAAGAGCAGCAGCACTATGGGATAGTTTGTCCTCGTCTCCCCTCTCAGAGCACCCCTTTCAACTGCTCCTCTGGATTAATTTACCCTCTACTTGGCCAATCAGAGAAAATCTGGTTCGGGATGGTACGCAAGGTCACGCTATGGGCCATATGGAAGGAGAGATGCAGCAGAACTTTGGATGGCACGAAGAACCCACAGGAGAAAGTATGGGCAGCAACCAAAGAGATGATTGAAGCGGAAATCCTCTGTCATTGGAGAAAGGTTAACCTCTGGGTGCAGAACAACCCAGAGACAAAACAGGTGACACTTGCTAAATTCAAGCGGATCTGGTTGGTAGGTGACAAAGTGGCATGGCTGAATGGGCACATTTTACGATGGAAAGAATGGCACAATTCGGTCAAGTTGGTATCCCAGCAGAACACACAGGTACTTGAGGAACTGGCCCCAGCCTGGGCCTAGAAGAGCATCCAAGATGCACGCGCGACAGCCGGCAGCCGATGTTTCATGGAACTGCAATCAGACTCGTTCTCATTCACACTTTTCATGCATGTAAACAGCAGCGCAGCAAACTGGCGACATGCGCCCACTCCAAACTCAGAGATATGGCAACCAGATACGAGTTCACTCTCAACTGGCTATGGCGACTCAGCGCCCAAACAACTCACTGTTCACATACACCGGATCACCCTGGATATCCCACACGCGTCACTCTGAACACACGCACATACACACACACACACTTCACACTAAACTACAGCTAGGGCAGCTATGCCTGCCTCTACCCTATCGCTATGCTACGCTCCTTCTCTCTCGCCCACTTCAGCTCCGGGCTCTCTGCAGACCTCCTTGCACAAGTCGCTGTGGCAGCGCTTCCGCATGGCTCACGCAGGAATGAATGAAAGGCTGGGCGCTGCCTCTTGATTTATACTTCTGAAACTCGTTGGTCTGCCCTCTTCCATCGGCCCATGGTGCTCACAGTCCCTTGTGGTACTTGCTGGACCGGACTGGGACTGACTGGACCTTAACGCTGACTGAGTGGGGACTCACTGCTAACCCACCGAGATCGTACTGCAATTGCACTGCAGTTTAGTCCACCACTTGACTCACCACTTGCCCACTTGCCCACTTGCCCACTTGCCCACTTGCTGACCTTCTAAAAGGACTACAACTAAGACTTCTGGAACTCGCTAAGACTTCTATCCTACAGATCTACAGATCGAACCCCTCGGCTACCTACGGACCTATGACAGCCTTGCGAACACACAGGTCACAGGTTCAACTCTCGGGGTCTACACAGATACTCTAGGGATCGAACCCTGGGGTCTGCGTCTGCTACTGCAAAGAGGTGAAAACCGTTTCAGAACACATGGAAAAAGATTAATCTTCTTTAGGGTTTAGGGTTTAGGGCTGAGGGTTTGGACAGAAACAAGACAAGCAGGGGTTAGAATGCTAAGGATTTCACGACGCTTATTTGCGGGGCTTAGGGTTTAGACAACATTGGCAGCAGTTGTAGCCTCTCGGATCTTTCTTGTTTTGCACGTTTTATCTGACAGGTTCTTATAGTAGTCCTGAGAGGAAAGGTGTAAGCAGGGCAAGCTGACAGTCAATACTCCACGTTGTTGGAGTAATCAATGTTAATCAGTGTTCCTTCGGCCAGACGGAAGGAAGCATGAGGGTGTTCTATGTTGTAATAATTAACTGACTTGCCGGTGGAATAGGAACCGGACTGATGCTCCCCAGAATGGAAATGGAGCCAGGGCCATAAGGACCTGTTTAAAAAAAAAAAATGGCACACAGAAATTGAGAAATGGTCCAAATTAAAATTAATAAAAAGAGGAGGGGGGGGAAACTATGCCCTGAGTGTCTAACTTCAGTTACTGCACTAAGGTTGCCATTTGTCCTTTCTTTTTTTTTTTCTCTTTTTTTTTTTTCTGCCTTTTGTCATGGCTTACTCATGACGTCATCTGAATTTGTCTGGTTTTTTTTTTTCCCCCTTCTTTTCTTGTTTCCTGGCAGAAATATGAAGAATTAGTCAGAGAGGCAAAGGAGCAGAAAGCGCAAGTTGAAGATATCATTCATAGCTATAAGCTGCGAGTCATGGAGTTGGAGGACGAACTTAAGAAAGTGGTACTTGCTATTTTTAGTATTTTACTATTTTAGTATTTTACTATTTTTTCGTATTTTACTTTTTTTAATTAATTGCCAGATTGGCATTTGCTTTTTTTTTTTTTTAAATAAAGGGCGACGCTGCGACGGCCTTTAGATATCATCATTGAACTGACTGGCCCCAGGCAATTCAGAACGATTTTATTCTTTTCACTGTGGTGGAACAAGTGTGGTGCCTACGATAGCAAGGCACGTCTTAGTGTTAACACTTTGCTCTTCGTAACTGCGAACGGCACATGCACGTTTAAGTGTGGTCGCCGATTTCCCGCCCACCCATGCGGTCTCCGCAGGTGGCCCATGAGGCCACTGTATGCGATCAACTACTCCCCTCGAACGGTGAACTACCCATTAAGCAGCCGGAACCGTTCAGCCCTACCTACCACAAGGTTCCTGTACCCCTCCCCCCCACACACACCCCAGAGATGAGACAGCCTTTGCCCTCGTGGTTTGAGACACACACGAGGGGGAACACACCTAGACGTACTGCCCAATGTGCCACTCCCCTCCTCTATGAGGGTCACCCTCTAACCGAGAAACTCCATAGTACCCAGACGTCTAGACAGAGACCCCCTAGGGAGAGGCAGGGAGCAGCAGACCAGGGTTCTCTAGGCCCACAGGCTATAGTACTTAACAATCTCATTCAATTCCCATCTCATTCAATTCCCTTATATATATGCTATTGGGGTTCAGTAGGGTTCATCTTCTATACGTCGAGTTTCTGCTAGAATCCGTCTATGCAACAGCCCGAGACTTAGATAGATCCTAGATTCCAATGGGTTCATATATGTATGCCTTTTTTTTGTCTAGAGTTCACATAAACCATGTATATACCACTAGGCTCGTATATGTGCACCTCTGGATCCCCCTAATCCCCTTACCCCTTACCTCCCCCATGGAGTGACTACCAGAAGAGACCTGAGATCATCAGACCAACGTGCAGACCAACCCCCGAAGGATCCTCCCATAAGCCTATCCCAGCATACGCAACCATGGACGAGGACCCCTTGGGCGGTGCGCAGGCAGTGTCTGTATAAACTTGCCGTGTGTCGTCCCAAGGGGAGTGTGCGAATGGCAGTACGTCGGTTGACGCCCGCTGGTGGCCTATGAGCAAGAGTGCAGGTTCCAAGATTTGAACCTGCACCCTAATACCACAATGCGCAGTGCTCTAACCACTGAGATGGCCATTCACCTGTTGATACCTTTACGAATTGCCAATCTTTTTTTTTTCCTTTTTTTTATTTTTTTTTTCTTTTTTTCAATTTTTTTTCTTTTTTTAATTTCTGCTGAGTCTCTGTGTGGCATACTCAGTTCCACACAGGCCCCACTGGGCCCTACAGTAGGGTTAGGGGGTTCATAGGGTTTAGGAACTTTACGGACTATGTCATTTAGGCCGTGTAGGACCCAGTAGGCCACTGACTCATTTGTAATGATCCGCCAAAAACACAGACTGAGAACACTGCTGATTTCTGGGATTTGCCGCGTGAATGCATGCCTTGCTGAAATTCCCGCATTCTGCTGTGATTTCCATGTCTGTGTGTGTGTGCGTGCCTGCTGGTTTGCATGCCTGTCTGAGTGCTTGTTGGATGAGTGTGTGTGTGACCCGCAAGGGTACTTGTTGGTTGCAAGGCCCCGCAGGGCCGGTACTTACCTGTGGCCGTGACTGTGAGGGTTGCAGCAGGGGAAAGCACTCGAGTAGCGGGGGTAGGCCTGCGACACTTAGAGCAGAGGGGAAAAACACTCAAGTAGCAGGTAGGCCGGTACCAATGAAGTAGTGGTAGAAGTGTCGGGTACTGGAGGCCGAGCAGAAGAAGACAAAAAGTTGGCATTTTTAGAGGCCCAGTAGCGGTAGGCTAGAGGTAGGCCGGGTCTAGGGCCTGTCCAGAGGTTAGCAGAGCCTGCAATGATGTTTCCCTCCGAAAGGGAGGAGGTACCGGTTGCTGGGAGGCTGCTTGGCCTAGGAAGTCACCGCCCAGGAGTCCAGTAGGCCGCTATATCTTTCGGAGGAGCAAGTAGCTCCTCCTCATTTGCGGTATGCAAGGATTGGCGACATGCTGCTGGAGCGCAGCGCTGGCTGATACAGCGCTGCTTGGAGGTGAAGGGCAGCTGGCGCTCAGCCTGGCTATGGCAAGCAGCCCAGTTTGAGGAGGAGGGAGAAGGGGGCTAAGGAAGAGAGTGGCGAGGCACCTACCTGGCTATGGTGGACACCGTCTTCATCACCTTGTTGGGCGCTGCATCTGGAAGGCCCCAGTTGGGGTAGTGCCGCACCAAGGAAGCTCGAGGCAGAGTCAGGCATGGCGGACCA